ACCGGCTCTCGTCTGGATGCTTTCCAAAAAGTCTCTCGCTGACTTCCCCCTCTCTCCCCCTCTCCACTCCTCTAAAACCTTACCAGGCAAATCCATAGCATGAATATTTCAGCATCAGCCACTTGAGCGCATTGGCTGCGTGGCGGAGCACCTCATCAATAAGAGCTGGCACGGGCGGTGCGCTCCGCCAGAATCAGCTTGCAAACCGGCGGAGGAATCAGAGAGACCTCCTCACCCAGCAGTCCAGACTGCAGAGAGTGAAGCAGCAGCAGCAGCATCTACCACCCCCCTTCAGAGGTCTCGAGCCCCCCCCAAGCCCCTCTGCAGGTGTCTTCCCCGCACACTCTCTCTCTCTCTCTCTCGCACGCACACACACGCAAGCAAGCAAGTCGGCATGGACGTCTTCAAGAAAGGCTTTTCCATCGCCAAGGAGGGGGTGGTGGCAGCAGCAGAAAAGACCAAGCAGGGAGTGACGGAAGCGGCAGAAAAGACCAAGGAAGGAGTCCTTTATGTAGGTAAGAGAACTCTGCCTGCCTCATGGGCTGCTGAAGTGGCAATGCGAGGGAAGGACAGCCGTGTTTTGGCCGTGTGACCTTGTGCAGGGGATGGTGCTACCTTGGGCTTTCCTGGAGGCGGGAATGGTGACCCCCCCCAAAAAAGTGTACAGCATAAAGATGGCAGCCTCCAGGTGGGGTTTGAGGATCCTGCCCCCCCCAGATTACAGCTCATCTCCAGACTGCAGAAATCCGTTCCCCTGGAGAAAATGGACGCTTCGGAGGGTGGCGTCTAGTAGGGTTGCCAGCCTCCTGGTGAGGCCTGGAGATCTCCCAGAATTCTAACTGATCTCCAGTTAGACATTAGAGATCAGTTCCCCGGGAAAAAATGGCAGCTTTGGGTGCCTCATACCTTGACTGTGGCATCATACCCCTCTGAGGTCCTTCACCTCCCAAACCCCACCTTCCCCAGCCTCCATGCCCGAATCTCCAGGAATTTCTCAACCCAAAGTTGGCAACCTTGTACCCCCCACACTAAGGTCACTGTCCTCCCCAGGCTCCACCCCCAAATATCCAGGGGTTTCCCAGCCTAGATCAAGCAACTCTCCCCTCACCCTCCTCCGGTTGCCAGAGAGGACCTCACCATCCTGTGCATGATTAGGATTGCCCTCCCCCCGGCCTGGCTTCAGGTCTTTTAAGAGCTGCCCGATGACACTGCAGATATTCAGGCTGCAGTCAGGACCTGTGTTCTCTCTAAGCTGAGTGAGTGTGAGCTAGTTCACAGTTTTTTTAGCCTCCGGCTCACACATTTTGCCTCCGCTCAGGAGAGACGGCTCCAGAGCAAACTAATTGATGCAGCAGCCAAATCGCTCGCTCACAGCTTGAATGCCGGTAGCTCGCAAAGTAGAATCTTTGCTCACAGGACTCCACAGCTTAGAGGGATCAGTGGTCAGGATGTGTGTGTGTCCCTGGGAGACTGTTCCCTGCACCCCAGGTGGGATTTGCTTCCGAAATGTCGCACGGGGGGGGGGAGGTCGGGGGAAGCTGGTCCTCGGCTCAGGCGTCCTCTGCTGCCAAGCCCGTGGCCAAAGGGACGGGAGCAAGGAGAGGGAAGCAGGTGGGAGCTCCAGGTGGGCTCTCGCTTTGGGTGGGGCTCGCCGGCTCAGCCGCATCGGCGGCTCGAAAGGTGTCGCTCTGCTTAGAATTGCCACCGTCAGTGGCCCGTTACTCACTCGCATTGCAATTCTCTGCTCCCCACTGTCTCTGCCAAAGGTGTAAGGGATAGGGATGCCAGCCTCCATGCGTGGCCTGAAGGTACCTTGGAATCACAGTTCGCCCCCAGACTGCAGAGATCGGTCCCCCTGGAGGAAATGGCTGCTTTGGAGGGTGGGCTCCATGGCATGGTACCCCTGTCCTCCTCAGACTCCAACCCCAAACCTTTCCCTGGATCTGGCAACCCTACCCCCCCCAATACCCTGCTGGGGGCCTGGGGGGGAAGGCCGGTGCCACAGTCGGGGACCCAGCGGCTTCCCTTTCTTCACTCACTGATACACACTCACAAAACTGGGGCTGTGTGACTTGAAGGGTGTCTAGGTCGGCCAGCTCTGAGCGGAGAAATGTCCTGCAGATTTGGGGACAGGGTAGGGCTGGCCGCCAAGGCTCCCTCTGAGCAGTGGAGTCTGGCGAGCAAAAACCCTACTCTGTGAGCGACTGGCATGAAAGCCGTGAGCGAGCGATTTGGCTACTGCATCAATGAGTTGGCTCTGGAGCCCTCCTTCCTGAGCGGGGACAAAAATGTGTGAGCCGGAGGCTAAAAAACGGCATCAATGAGTTGGCTCTGGAGCCTTCCTTCCTGAGTGGAGACAAAAATGTGTGAGCCGGAGGCTAAAACACGGTGAGCTCGCTCACGCCAACTCAGCTTAGAGGGAACACTGCTGCCAGCCTCCAGGTGGGGCCTGCGGATCCCCTGGAACTAAAGCTCATCTCCACCCCCGGCCTCAGGAGTCAGTTCTCCGGGGGGGGGGGGAATGGTAGTTCTGGAGGACGGCCTCTATTGGCATTATACCTCACAGAGGTCCCTCCTAGCCCCAAACCCCACAATCTCCAGCCTTTACCTACAAATCTCCAGGAATTTCCTAATCCAGAGCTGGCAACCTCAGGGCAGAACTCGGGGAGGGTGGAGAGGCAAGGGAGCTCAAGGTGCCATTCCCTTCAGGGGAATGGATCTCCGGAGTCCGGACATCGGCTGTAATTCCAGAACTCCAGCCCACACCTGGGGGTTGGCAACCCTGAACTGCGCCCCTAGGCTCCCTCTCTTCCCATCTCCTGTTCAGTTGTCCGTCAGTCCCCCTGCGAAAGGAGGCTGGGATGAGACTGGAAAATGTCAAGTCTCTCTTGGGCGACGGCCATTCGTGAAGGGCCACTGAAGAGGATTCGGTTCTCCGGACCGCCTGAAAACACAAAAGGGGGGGGCTGTGCTCATTTGCTCTGCTGGGGCTTAAGAGGTGGCGGAAGAGTGTCTACAGACCTTGCCATCCGTTTGATTTCCCCCCCCCCTTACTTCCAGATTCAGTGCCACCCGGTGGATATGAGTGGTGTTTCTTTTTTTCTTTTTTTTATTTAATGATTTTTATTGTTTTTAGACAAAAGGTTAACAGTAAAATCGAGAACAGTGTAAAATTATGCTTAAATACACACATCTTATGTAAATTTTGCATATTTTCAAGTAATTATGTTCAGAACTGCTTCTTTTTAGAGCTTTGGACAACTTACATTGTAACAAACCTCAAAACTTGTTGTTGTCCAGTATCTAATATATATAAAATAAAATAAAATAATAATAATAAAGTATAATATTAAAACATATATACAGTGAAGTAGCTAAACAAGGAAAATAAATAATAATAATAACAGTGCAACATACATTTGAAAAACACACTACATGAATTAAGGATAATGTTACCATATTTGTGTACAGAAGATCTGTATTCATGAGCCTTTGGTTGAATAGGGGGGGGGAAACCCTTGTTAAATCCCCTTATAGTGGCGTTTCTTAATTGAAAGTTATCCACACACCTGCAGTGCACAGCTGGCTGATTTTCGCTGTCAGAACACTCCCGGTAACGGTGGTGAGCCGGTAGCTCGTCCCGGCAGAATCCCCTAGAAATCCTGTCTGGGAGCATTCCCAAGGGGGTGTTCTGATCCCGGGAGCAGAGCGAGTCCCTTTTCCAGGTCCTTCAAGGAAACATCTTCCTTAAAAACCTTGGCAACTGAACTGCGCTTTGAGTCTTGACCCGACTTGTGTGTATAAAGTGGTTGGCTAATGGCGACCCGACAGCTAGGGGGTTTCAAGGCAAGGGTGAAGCAGAGGCGGTTGGCCATGGCCTTCCTCCGCAGAGCCTTCCTTGGTGGTCTCCAGTGTCCCCTCTAAGCTGAGTTAGCGTGAGCTGGCTCACAGGTTTTTTTAAGCCTCTGGCTCAGACATTTTTGTTTTCGCTCGGGAAGGATGGCTCCAGAGCAATTGATGCAGTAGCCAAATCACCGGCTCACCACTTTAATGCCAGGAGACACAAAGTAGAATTTTTGCTCACGAGGCTCCACCGCTTAGAGGGAGAATCGGTGGTCTCCCTTCCAGCTACCAACCATGCCTTGCTTCTGAAATCTGGCAAGATCGGGCTCTGCTACACCATTCCACATCCCTTCTCCCACCTTGCTCAGACCATAAACGCAAGTGCAAATTGCCTTCAGCCTCTTCAAACACAGCGTCTGTCTTTCAGCCCATCGTCAGTGCTTCTTCTTGTTCGTGTTGTTGTTGCTGTCAAAAAGGGTGCCAGTATATAAAGGAGCTGCGGTGGCTCAAGTGGTTAAGATGCTGAACTGCAGGCTGTGGAAGGTCAGTAGTTCAGCAGTTCGAGACCCGGGTCTGCCGCATGACGGAGTGAGCTCCCGTCTCTGGCCCCAGCTCCTGCCAACTGAGCAGTTTGAAAGCAAGAAATTGCAAGTAGATAAATAGGTACCACTTCGGTGGGAAGGGAACAGCGTTCCGTGCGCCTTGGTGTGTAGTCATGCCGGCCACATGACCACGGAAACGTCTTCGGACAGCGCTGGCTCTTCGGCTTTGAAACGGAGATGAGCACCGCAACCCTAGAGTCGGACTCGACTGGCTTTCGAGCAAGGGAACCTTTACTCGTATATAAGATCACACCAGTTTCCACCGAGTCCCACCTCAGAATCTGAGAGAGCCCCCAACAGGGTTGCCAGTCTCCAGGCGGCGGCTGGAGACCTCCTGGAATTACAACTGGTCTCCAGGCTACAGAGATCCGTTCCCCTGGAGAAAATGGCTGCTCTGGAGGGTGGACTCTGTGGCACCTTAGCCCGCTGAGGTCCCTCCCCTCCCCAAACCCCGCCCTCCCCAGGCTCCACCCCCAAAATCCTCAGAAATGTCTCAAACGGAGTTGGCACTCCTATGGCCCCAAAGGTGCCACGACCAGTGAGGATCGCAGAAAAGCCCAGCCTGTCACAGGAGACGCTTTGAAGTCTCCCCTCCAAATACGTCCGTCTCTCTCCCTCTGCCCCCCCCTCCACTTTTCTCGCTTCCTCTTAGGGCAGAACTGCATATTACTTTGGAAAACAACCCCCCCCCCCAGTTGTGTGCATGAGTCAGATAAGTAGGCATTTTTTTGGGGGGGATTAGAGGGCATGAGGGTATGGGATTTCCAGCCTCTAGGGAGAGCTTGGTGTTCTCCCACACCTTCGACTGATCTCCAGTCCGGACTACAGGTATTAGCCCCCACACACACAGAAATGGCAGCTTCAAGTTTTGTGTAGTGGTTAAGTGAGCCAGTTTGGTGTCGTGGTTAAGTGCGCGGACTCTAATCTGGGAGAACCGGGTTTGATTCTTCACTCCTCCACTTGCACCTGGCTGGATGGCCTTGGGCAAGCCGTAGTTCTGACAAGAGATGTCCTTGAAAAAGAGCCATTTCTGTCAGAGCTCTCTCAGCCCCACCTACCTCACAGGGTGT